GATTGCAGTCTTAGTGTGGTGTGTTGTGGGAATAAAGGGGAACATAGGAGACCTTAGGGTTTATGCCAATAGTGTTTTAAAAGTTGGAGCAAAAGTAGATAATTCGGCGTATATTTGGGCGAAAAGTGGACAATTCAGCGACAAAAAAGGGAAAGTTTGCATTATTCGCCCCGGGCAGTCGAAAAAGTAGACATTTTGACACTTTCCCCCTTTATTTTCCAACACATTTCCCCTCTCACATTTCCACTCTCACACGGCCACGCGTATACAGCCTCTGCCAGGGAAGTCCTACTCATTGCCTTCTCGTGGCGGGGGTGTTGTCTACGAAAATGAGAGGACGAAAAGCGAATGTCCGGCGCTTTAACCGGATTCCAAATCAATGGTGCACATGGGCTCCAGTATCCTGCGGGAACGAATGGCGTATGAACCAATCGTTGGTCACCGGCTACCATGGGACTGCATCTCCTTACGATGCTCCACTGCCTTGTGGGTTAGACCTTTAGGTCAAAGGCTCGGGGAGTGGCCCCCTAAGATAACCACCTGCTTCGGTTTGGGCACCCGGGCAGTATCACAGCCCACACACAAATTGATGAACTCTTTATGACTATGGAAATTACCTTTCTCGCTTTGAAAAACAAACAATTGATTCAGATTATTATCATTACAATTATTGTCATTATTAATACTAATATTATTATTACTACTATTATTGTCATTATTGTTATTATTATCATTATTATTATTATTTTCCACATTATTCACCCTCTTTTATACTTATACAGCGGCTCGTCTTTGGTGGAAATCCGACTGTATCTAAACGTTCTCGAGTCACTGTCCGGTTGAAAATTGTATGTTACCACCGAATACGAGGACTGAAGCAGATTTTCTGAAACCACGTGCACCATTCAAACTGGCTGCCTTCAACGTTCGCACATTTATGCAGGTCGGACAACAGATAGGGCTGGCTATGTCTTTGGAAAGTCTTAATATCGACGTGTGTTGTCTATCCGAGACCCGTATTCAAGACTCTGGCGAAGTACTACAAATTCGATCTCCATCTGTCGCTTCGAAAAGCTTGTTTTACGTGCGCTTATCCGGGGACCCTGTGGCATCTTCGTCTGGTCTTGCTGGCGTTGGTGTCGCACTAAGCGCTAGAGCTGAGGCAGCACTAGTCGATTGGATCCCCATTAACAGTCGGTTATGTGCTGTTAGATTAGAAAGTTCCATCAAAGTGAGAAGAAATCGGCGTGAGAAACGATGTCTTTTCGTCATCTCCGCCTATGCCCCGACAGATTGCAGCCCGGATGCAATCAAGGATGAGTTTTACCACCAGTTATCAGTTCTTCTCCAGAAAGTGCGTTCGACAGATATTGTAGTACTAGCCGGAGACTTGAATGCTCAGGTCGGGCGTCTAGGCACAGAAGAGAGTCGTTTAGGTGGCCGATGGGGACTCGTTGGTCGCAGGTCAGATAACGGGGACCGTCTACTGCAACTTTGCACAGACCACAACCTGTTTCTGGCTAGCACTAACTTTCGGCACAGTCATCGCCGATGTGCCACCTGGCGTCCTCCCTCTGCATCTCAAGCCTGGACTCAGATTGATCACATCGCGATCAGCTACCGCTGGCGTGGTTGTGTAAAGACTGCCGCTCCTTTTGGAGTACCTATCTGGACTCTGACCATGCCTTGGTCTGCGCCAATCTTGCCTTACTTTTCAGTGGACAACGAAGTGAACGCCATCAACGGATTGATGTTAGCAAGCTGGTTGCAACTTCTGTTGCAAGTAAGTATCGAACCGAGCTAGCCTCTAGGCTAGCTACCACTCCACCGAAAAGTATAGATGAGCATTGGTTGCAATTGCATGACGCCATGAAAATGGCGGGAACAGTCAGTTGTGGGTTTGCGAAACGTCCCGCTTTAAGCACTGGGTTTCTTCTGGTTCCTTACAACTCATTGAAGCCCGTCGGTCTACTCCGGGTGACCGTGAGTTTGACCATAAACGAAGGATGTTACGTAAGGAATTGGGCAAAGCTTGCGTAAGGACCGAGAAGCCTGGTGGTCGATGCGTGCTAATGAGCTGGAAGCAGCAGCTGCATCTGGTAACTACCGGAAGCTCTTCCAGCTCATCCGAGCCACTGGCAGCAAGAAGTCTGGTGTGAGTGAAACAATCTGCGAGGATGATGGGATGCCAATCACTAACATCCATCGACGTCTTGGACGATGGGCAGAATTTTTCGAAGGGCAGTTCAACTGGCCTGCTGCTCCGGCAACATCGGTCAGACTGTCCTGCCCTCCATGGCCGGTGACGACTGATCCACCAAATGAGGAGGAAGTCCGCAAGGAACTCCAACTCTTGAAGCGTTACAAATCACCTGGCCCAGATGACTTACCTCCGGCTCTTTTTAAAGATGGTGGTGACTTTTTGACTAAGGAATTGACGACGTTGTTTACAAAGGTTTGGGAACTAGAGAGTGTACCAACGTCATGGAATGAGTCGATAGTTGTCCCTATCTTTAAAAAGGGTTCACGTCGTTCTTGTAACAACTATCGGGGGATAAGTTTACTTCCGATTGCGTCCAAGCTATTGGCTTCCGTCATTCTTCGTAGGTTGTTCAAAACCCGAGAAAGATTGACTCGCGAGGAGCAGGCTGGGTTTCGTTCTGGTCGAGGATGTATTGATCATATCTTCACCCTCCGCCAAATGTTAGAACACCGCCATACTTTTCAAAGGCCAACAATCGTAGTGTTTCTTGACATCAGGGCTGCCTTCGATTCGTTGGACAGGACTGTTCTCTGGGATTGTCTATTGAAGAAGGGTGTGCCTGAGAAGTTTATTAACATCCTGAAAGCCCTATATAAAAACACCTCAGGCAGAGTGAGGGCATACAACCACCTCTCTCCATTGTTCCATTCGAGCAGTGGGGTTAGGCAGGGTTGCCCAATCTCACCATTCCTCTTCAACTTTGCCATCGATGACATTCTGGAAACAGCTCTGATGAATGTAAGTAATGGTGGTGTGGATCTGTTGCCTGGAGAAAGACTTCTCGACCTTGAGTATGCGGACGATATTGTCTTACTGTGCGATAATGCCCAAGGCATGCAATCCGCACTTAATCAGTTGGCAATCAGTGTCCGTAGGTATGGTATGTGCTTTGCACCTTCGAAGTGCAAAGTACTTCTACAAGACTGGCAGGATTCTAATCCTGTACTCACCCTGGACGGTGAGCAGATAGACGTAGTTGAGAAGTTCGTGTATCTGGGTAGCTGCATAAGTGCTGGTGGGGGTGTGAGTGATGAGATCAATGCACGAATAGTGAAAGCCAGAGCGGCTTATGCCAATCTGGGCCACCTTTGGCGCCTTCGTGATGTTAGTCTGGCTGTAAAAGGTCGGATCTACAACGCGTCGGTGAGAGCAGTTTTGCTCTATGCTTGTGAAACCTGGCCTCTCCGAGTTGAGGACGTTAGACGACTCTCTGTGTTCGATCATCGCTGTCTCCGAAGGATTGCTGACATTCAGTGGCAACACCATGTCAGTAATGCAGAGGTTCGGCATCGTGTGTTCGGGCACAGAGATGATAACTCAATTGGTGTCACCATCTTGAAACACCGACTTCGGTGGCTTGGACATGTTCTCCGAATGTCGTCCCAGAGAATTCCACGTCGTGCATTATTTGCCGACTCTGGGACTGGTTGGAAGAGGCGGAGAGGTGGTCAGTGCATGACATGGTGTCGTGGCATGAAAGAAAGCTGCAAAGGACTGGCTTGTGTTGGTCCTTCACGACTCCCTGGTTGGGGTCCGAGAGATGGTGCTACACAGTGGCTAGAGACGTTATCAGATATGGCTCAGAATAGAAGCCAGTGGCGATCCTGCTGTAACCTTCTTTTACTTTCTTCATAAAAAGTGGTTGTGTCTCCTTTACCTGAAAGATTTCTTCTGATTGTACCTTTTCGTTCCGTCGTTACTACCACACTACCTTACTCCAATCTCTTCGTCATTGTTCTCTTTTTCTTTTGCGTTCCCTAGTTTTTTTTTCTTTCTATTTCTCTTCGAATTTTCATTGTTTTGTGTGGCGCATATATATTGGCGCTCTCTTGTACCAATATTTATGTGTTCAAATAAATAAATAAATAAATACATTTCCCCTTTATTTCCCCTTTGTTCGCCTTTATTTCCCATTTATTGGTTGTTTGGGTAAGATATTCTTAGTTCTACGATTATACATTACTCGTTATCCCAAAGGTAATGAGTTTCTATCCAAGTCTTTCATGAAACACCTTACCTAATACTTCAGTAACCACGTCCGGTACGTTGACTTTCATTCTTAAAATATTTATTTGTACATTCTTTACAACCTGTTAGGAAGGATCTGTTAATGCGAAATAATGAACAAAATACGTTGCATAGAAAAGTCAACTGTCTACAGATCATAGACACGACCTTTGGCCCGCTCTTATCTCTTTGCCTTCCAAAAGATTATGCACTACCCAGAATAAACTTGTTCTCAAATTCCAGGATTCTTACAATAAACCCTAAGTTTTTTTGAGCGAAATTGGACCTCATGTTTTCTAGACTTTGTACTTATTTCTTCAAACAAAAAGTTGCTTCGTTTTGCTTAGGATTCATGTTAAAAGCTCGTCATATTCTAATCCTATTTCTTATGTTTTGCGAACAATGGTTGTATGTTGGAGCGTGGTATTTTCTCGTTCATGTCTGCTGTCTGGTTGTGGATATTGTTAACTTGCTAGTGATAATAGCCCTGGAAACAATTGGTACTTTCCGATTTCTCACCCTCTATAATTATATCTCTTCCATAGGCGATACATGATTGTCCCCACACCTCACTAAAGCTATGGGCTTGTGGTTAGGACGGTAGTGGCTGCAATTCTAAATTTCTAACTACTTTCAAATTTCTTTGACTTTGTAAATGTTTAGTTAAGATGTGTGTTTTCTAGCTCCCAGTAACGATTTATATGGTTGTGCACCTATTCCACAGATCGTAATGGAAAAAGTAAAATGTATATTGACCAAGACATTGGGTGAAAAAGCTGCGACGGATTTTATAAAGTAGATCTAATTACTTTCTTTAGAAGTATCATTGATAAATTGTTACAGAGCTTGCATGGAAGTTTATGATACTCAAATGATAAAAAGACGTGTATCTACTCTACTAGATACTCGTAAAATGGAAAATCGTCAGGTTTATGAAATTCTGATACGAGAGAAGATACGAAGAAGTGGATTTACTGGGGAGGTCAGTTTGTAGCACCGATAATTTTCTAGCTTATAAATCACTCAGTATATACACTTGGTTATTAATTTTCAACAGTGTTTCCTTGCATTGGCATTTTAGGCATCTGATTGGAGCGAATGCATTTGTGTGTCTCGATTAAGAGACTATTAGTTACATATTTCACTTATGATTGCATCTAACCTGCTGGACCAACAAACACAGCTAACCCATTCACGATTACAACAAACAAGACTAAATATAAAGGTAACACGAAATTCTATCGGTTGTTTTTCTAGAACGTAAATAGTACTGGGCTACAAACAAACAAAAATAGTTTGTACAGGTAAACATCAGTAAAATACGAAATGTTAATGAAAGATTACTATAAATATATATATATATATATATATATATATATATATATATATATATATATATATATATATATGGCTCGAGGAATTAGTTTTAACTAACTACTGTCTCCTCCCGTAGTAAGTTTATGTATACGTTTCCAGTAGGAGCGAACAGTGTCAAAGCGCCAGCTAAATTAATTGTAAAGAATCTAGTATTTGGAAAGAAGCTTTCATGAGATTCATTAGATGATTTGATAATAATGGTAGTGCTTTATCTAACCAATGAGATCACAGTATTAATACATTTTGTGCAAATACACGTCTTTAAAAATATTCATACTTCTAAAATCTTGTTATCGGAGTTTTGCAACAGATTGTCATGGTTATCTTATGAATATGATGAGCAAGGGCACAAAAAACTGTTTGAACTCAACCAAAATACAGATAAGTTTATTCGCTGTTACTACGTACATGCAGCAAAATGTTTGTTAGTCACAAATTAGTATTTAATCCACCTTCGGTACAACGTTTAAGATATAAGGGAATATTTGATATGCAAAAAATGAAATTGTCTGCCGGTGATGGTTTATTAGTAAAAGTAGTTGGTAAAAATCCGAAACTAAATGACCGAACGATAAGTGTTTTACGAAGCCATCTAACTTATCTCAGGTTGCCTTTTATTTGCTGTGCGTTGAGTCTCAGTATCTATACGGTGTTGTCATTGGCCGCTGAGTTCTAAGTGAATGAAACTAGCAAACATAGCAGAGGGATGGTCAGCAGTTTTCAAGTATTCAGAATGTTGTAAGGAATCCCTAATTAAACTGATAGCGCTCAGTACCATTAAATAAGATACGGAATTCTCTAGTTACGAAAAAGGTGTGATTAACATTATCTAATGACGTCAAGTCCAAGAATACCAAACATGTTAGTCACTTTGACTTTAACTTGGACATGGGTGCATCGGTCTAATCATATTTTTATTATAAGTGGAGTTTACCACCAAATGGTCTACTCTATTTCGGTATATGCTTTAATCGTATACAGATAAAAAGAAATAAACTGCATTTGATATAATTTACACAAATGTTATAGCACCATACGTTCTTGATCGGATTGTTTCATTAGCTGGGCTGATAACTAGCAAATGTTTCAGTGGAAAATTAGTCAAAATTATTTTCTTGGTGCGATATGGAAAGCTTTGCTCATATAATTGTTATTTAGGACAACAACTCATTCTGGATATTGTGCGATGGCTGTCTGTATTTAGCACCATATGTAAACTTTAAAGTGATTTAAACATCGTATTTTATGAAGTGAACTCCAGTTATTATCGTGTGCCAAATAATTTAACTTCACTTCAAATGTGTTTTTTTCTCCTAGGGTTATCGTAAATCTAATTGTAGTTCAGGTGTTTTAAATAATATATCAACATCTTCCGACGGGATTTCAAATTCAGAAAAGGTTTGTTTTATTTTTAGATAACATAATATCACATGTGGCATATCGGAACTATTTTTATCATTTACACAATGAGTAACAATTTCCTTGTTTTGACTAGATGGTTGTTTAGTAGCTAATCATGTCATTTAACCATCATGTCTAAGCTTTGAACTTTGTATTACCTATTTTAGTTTTGACACTCGTCGCACCAAAAGTGTTATCTAAAGCCGAGTACATAAAACGAAAATCATAAAAATCAATCTATATCTCATATATATAGTTTAGAAATATATATTTTTTAGCGACCACACACTGTGTATCAACTAAACTTTTGAAGATTCCTAAAATAAATGGCCCTAATTGTACTTCTTAGCGGAACCCTTGTAATTCGAATTATTCTACACGAAAATTCTCATTATCTTCCCCAAATTAAAGTAATTTTGTAGTTCCTGATATCTGCTTAGATACTGTTAAGTCATTGCCACCGTTTTGTCCACTGAATGTGATAATTTACTTATTAAAATGTCCCATATATCAGACATAAGCAGAATGAAAACCACTTCATTTGTGTTAAGATAACAATTATATCTTTCACTGACTGGTTATAAAGTGTGCTGTAATCTAAATGTCCTATTGCAAAGAATCAGTCTCTTATTCATATAATGTTTTATTTTCGACCTACTACTTTTCAATAAGTAACTAAGCCTGTTTCTACTTGTCTGGTGACTTTTAATGGTAAGGAAGCGCATTTTCATAATAACAGTGATAATAATGCATGGAGCGTCGTATTTCGGATTTGCCTTTTGCATAGAAATATGCAAAAAGTTTAGGTGTGGGTTTGACGGATAGTAATACTAATCAGTATATTCTGTTTATCACTTTAAGGAAATTAGGTGGATAGAGGTGATTGTTAGGAAAGCATAAACCTTTGTTTGTGCTAGTTAGCAGTCGACAGCAAAACTTACACTTAAGATTTCAATGGACTAGTAATTGATGTAGAATATCATAAACAATCTCCTTACTGCAGATGATTATTTCATGGACTCTGTTTCAAAGGTCTCTACTCCATATACTCTTCAGATCATGTCCAAGTAGTTTGTTAGCCTGATGTCATATCTCCGTCTGATCATCACTAACGTTTTCTTAATTTCTATACCTGGCAGTATCCACATGGTATCTATTTACTTTGGTTTACACTTTAACTTGGGTCACCCGGCGGTTTCCCCGTTGGTTAATAAGTCTTCCGAAATAGTTATTGAAAATCTCATAACAGCACAGTGGTTATGTTTCACAAATGTAGAGTACAGCACAGCTGACTACTGTGAAGTACACCCGCTTTCTTATATGACGTCTGGTATGCATCATATCGTACAGATTCCGTTGGTGGGAAAAGAGAAAAGCTTATTTTTGTATCCTTACCGAAACTCTATTCTTCATCAATTCACCAATAATGTTGAGAATGGATATCCAATTTGCCTCACTAATAATTGTACTTATATGTAAATATACATCCCCTCATAAATCCATTTTCTCTTTGGATGATGTAGATTGATGTAGAGCAGTCATCATCACAAACTACTAAAAATAAAAAAAACCCAAGTTCTATCCATTATTTTGTGAAGGAGCTCAAAGCGATCAACTTGTTTCTCTCTTACCTGGTCGGCATCCTTGTCAGTGTTTGGCAACTAAGCATCAGTTAGTCAATAATTGCTTAAATTGTGGTCGTATAGTCTGTGCACAGGAAGGTTCAGGTCCATGTTATTATTGTGGAAGTCTTGTTTGTACAATAGACGAGGAATACCAATTATCACTAGGGTCTGCTAAACACAGTCAGAAACTACACAATAAACTATCGCAAGCAGCATGGGCACCTGGCACTGAAACTCCATATTATCAACTTATTCGTCGAGCTCAGAAATCAAAACAAGAATCAACTAGTGAAATAATCTCTACTGAGTCTAATTCAAATAATGGACTAGAAAGTGATAGTGATGACAATGACCTAATAAAAAAGTCAGCCCAGGGAGCTCAAATTCGTTTGGAACAAGGCAAGTTGGTTGATCATGTGATATGATTTGTTGCAAACACAAAATATACACGTTTATTTTTTCCCAAACTACAAGTTAAAAGATTAAAAATATCCTAAACCCGATTGAATTATAACCAAAAAGTAAGCTACACTATCCATTTCTGTTACTGAGACAACTTAAGATTGATCATTGATATTTTATTCTCATAATCCTTACACCCTCTGCGAAACTTGGTAGTCACTCTCTCTCTCTCTCTCTCTCTCTATATATATATATATATATATATATATATATATATACATATCACTTATTGATTGAAAATTGAGTTAATGACTTGGGGAGAGTAATAATATACTTTAGATTGTTGAAGCATACAAGCCATTTCGATTTTTAAAATTACTGTAGGACAAACGGTTGATGGAACCGTCGTAGAGATCAATTAAAGAGATGAACTGAGCAATACATGAACAATTAATTTACGATACATATTGCTTCATTGAAGTTATTAGGGCATTATATGTGTTCCTTACAATACCTTAAGCTCATTTTTAAATTAACGTGAACGCAGAATCCAGTTCATGAGAAGGGCTGCTTCTGTATGAGTATCATCCTAATATCGTAAGAAATGTAGTTTTAAATGCAGTCAAATTTGTAGATATTATTTATTCCAAATACCTAAGACTCTATGATTGAAGGATGTATGATGCTCTCTTGAATATGGTTTGATCGTAAACATTCGTTGCTTCTATACTTGAAAATGAAATTTATTCTATTAACCTTTCTTAATATACCTCTTTTTCTCCACTTTAGTGGAAGATATTTACATTTCTTTCTTACCCTTATAATCTCGTTTTAGGTTTAATCAATGCATTATGTAAACGTGATAAACTTTTGGAGTTCGATACTACCTGTGCTAGACGAACTAGAGTTATTGATGATGAATTAGATTATTTCGCAACAGAGGGTGGCGTTGGATCAGCTGCATGGTTAAGTCCTGAAGTTCGTGAGAAGATAGCTCAACGCGTAATTGAATTACGAGCCCAAAGGCATTCACATCGTCTACAGTCTGCACGTATGTGTATTGACCTAGACAAATGCGATGTTATAAAAGAGGTTAGTATGTACATATAACACATGAAATTATCCCAGTAAAATATTTTACATAGAAATAATTATATGTTCCTTCTTTAAAAAAACTTTCATTCCTCTTGATGATGTTCATCAGCATTTCTTATTGATTTTATGTTGATTGAGTTATTCTTATTGAGTTTTGACTGATAGTCTCATTTCTGTTTAATAGGCTTAGTGTTGAATTTCACCTGTGAAAAGTTCCTCAACATAGAACGGGACACCGTTACACTATGAACATTGGATTATTAACTTGTTCTGATGAGCTCATTGTTTCGACCTTAACATAATTAATCTTTGCTGTGATCATTTAATCACACTGGTTAGTTACTGGTATAATGCTTCATATGAAAGACTCAACGTATCCTTAGATGAAGTTCAGCATTTTTGAATTATTCTAGACTATCTCTCTTCATGTGATATCTTCAAACAGTTCGAATGATGTGATATGACCAAATATAAACATTTGTCATAGGTTCAAACTCTGTTTTCCGATACAGTTATATTTGATCGCTAATTTTCAACCTAGAGATCTATAAAATAATTTTTAAGATAACAAATAGTCATATTTGTAGATCTGAATTGTTGATTGTCTTACCTTATGATAAATTTCAAATAACCCCAAAAATCCATAAATGCTTTAAGATTTCGATTGGCTACAAATAAAGGTTTCTTGACAACAAGATTCTAACATAGTAAATAGTTGAGTAGTTATCTACATAGTGTTAGGTCCCGATAAACATAATGAATGGTAACTTTGGGATCCTTTTATGGACCAATACTAAACGTATATTTTTATCGTATAATTGTCAAATAACTAAACTATTCATATTCCTCTTATTATAAACTTTATTTTGACCTATGAACCATTATTATACGTTTTACCATTCTTGAATTATGCCCTGTCTATTAGTCACTGCCTCCTACATTCACAGACACATCTGGCCAAATTTTGTACAAATGTTATTTTCTATTTAATGCTACGTTGTGGTCTGTTTGATTGGTATATAAACTCAGCATGTTTGAAATATAAGGATTCATATTACAGAGGCTGAGACTGGTGTTTTGGACTTAACTGGCTGGTCTAGGCGGGAAGCAGGACCAATCAGGACTCTAGGCTGCTCGCACGTGTTTTACGCGTCTTTGGTTCGATTGATAATTCGCTGTTCCTGATTGGCGGCTTTAGGCCATAACACAGGATATGTCGTTTGCCGTACTCCGAATCAGGTAGTGTCTTACATGTCTGTCTTGAATGTCTCTAACTCTTCATCTCCTATACCATACTCACAGAACAGGTTCTTGTTACAACGAAAAGGCCCTAATGTTAGGATTGTGAATCATAATAGTTTGTCAGGTTTTACTTGTTACAAATAAAATCGATGACGTTGGTGTAAATCAGTCCCGTACCAAAATGATCACTGCATAACCAATCAGTCCAACAAACTTAAGACTGAAATTAGTAGTGTGTAAACTAATCTATCCGCAAATTATCCCGGTTTTCTTGGTACATTTCATACCAATCAGATGGCATCACTGATTAACATATTTGTTCATCACTCTGTCATGTGCGATTCAGTGACAAAGCGGAAAACTTCGTAGACACGTTCAAGCTGTTTATTTTCAAATTGCCAAATAAGAGAACATTGACAACTCTCCAAAGCCTGTTTGAATGTCACACCTCTATTAATGGTGCGATGCCGTATAATATTTTACCAACAAAGATTCTTATAGGTTAAAAACGACTCAATAAACATACTCAATAAAATCTAATCTTTTCCTCAAGTGTTGGGATGCAACTACGGGGTATTGAATAGAACTTTATGGCAAGGAAAAAGAAAAACTATGATGGGAAAGCACAGGACTCACGAACAAGAGATTTGGTATTTTATTTAACTCGAAGTCACTGGAAAGTTTATCATACAAAAATCATTGCCTTCCAGAATTGCTACTCATTTGATATGTTTTATTTCCTTAAGTGACTTCTTTCACTTCCACTCGTTTTACCGTGGCTATTTGCCTATTTTCAATATATATAGTCAAAGCTGTTAATGTCTTAATTTTTAAAAGTATGCTTCATAGGAATTCTTTGTCATCAGTATTTAGTGGAGGGTTTGGTTCGGGCTCTATGTAAATGTGAATATTTATGTAGACTTATATAGCTTTTATGAAACGGTCTCATTAAGTGGTTGGGCATCGTAATATTTTAGAAGCGTTATTATGATTGTACTTTGTTTCTTTGTAAGGATACAAGAGATGAAGCAGCTGGGAAATTGTACAATCCAAATCAAGAAGAAATGGATGAACTTTGTAAATCTTCAACTATTTCAAATGTTAATCAGTCTTCCGGAGATAGTCAAAAAACTGTTAACTCAAATAATGGTGAAATAACCCTGCCTACTGTAAGTTGTCTCATTTTTCTCAATTTAAACTGTTGAAGGTATTCAAATCCTCCGAAAATAACATCTCATTACTTGCTGTCTTGTAGTTAACACTGTGATTCCTAGTTTCGTATTTCCCCTGTCAAATCTCCCTACTCTTTATTTTTTATCATCGTTATATAGTTTAATTTGTGTGTTTGTTGATGTCATAGTGTAGTGAAGGAGAACACAGGTGAGGACAACCGAATCATACTTAGCACAAAATTACAGTTACTTGGTAAAATAGAAAAACCATACTATAACACCCAATTTGCAAAATGTTCAATGATTGTCTCGGACTTCATTGTTCTTGCATTTCCATATTAATTGCTTTCTATTCCCGTTCTTCCTTTCTTGACTTCCCAATCTTCTGCTGCCAGACATTACATTCCTGACTCGCGTTATATACTACTTATGTCAATATAAGTAGCACGCACCACAATAGTACTCTTTATTGTCACCCTATCGGCTGACTAATAATCAATCTTCGTAGGTGGGTTATTATTAAGCTTCTCTCTGTATTATCTGGGTTTAAGTATAGGATATGGGTAGTTCTATTCATTGACAATCACATACACTAGAAATATAGTCAGGATTCATTGAACTATGTAACACATATATACATCAGTTAAACGTTCGTCAAATTAAATTGCATAGTCAAGCACACTGCTGATATGATGTTTAGTCCTGGTAATTGTTTACTTTTTGTGTGTTGATGTCTGACTCCTATTGAGTCGTATGAATGGTTGCTGTCAAAATATATATTTGGACTATTCTTGTGTATTATTATCGACTTAATCTCCGTTAGTGTCTAACGGAAAACCTGTTAATGTCTAACTTCAACTAGTCCACGAAATCGTTAAAAATCTCAATTGATTATGTTGATTAATCACTAAGGCTTAATTAGAATTCATCAGTTTTGGTTCAGTTGACCTTTCCCATAGAAATAATGTTGTTGTACTAGTGAACTGGTCGTACTACATTCGTCTACCGTAACTATATGACAAAACATTGAAACATTCTGAATATGTTTTGCGTGTACTATTGTTAGACAGATTAGTGTTCACTAGATGAAATTTTTTTCTATACGAAATCCTTTACTTAAACCGTATATTTGATAAAGCCTAAAAAGCGTTTACGAATACGTGGGCGATAATCACATAATGATTATTAATCTAAAATGAATTTTGATAGCTTCATCACTTGACCTTTTCCATGGAAATAAGGAATTGAAACAAAAGAAGTTAAATGAAATTGTGGGTGGCACTGAAAAGGGCCTTTACTCATTCTCTTAACAGTTCCGAATTTCATGAACAAAGGCGTTGCTATGATTCCGTTATAGCGCCGCACATGGGACAGTGGATTCCATGGACGTGTGGTGATGGGTCGTAAGCCCAAAATAAATGGAACATTGCTTCTCATGTACAAAATATCCAGGCACTTGCATCAGCAGTTTCATGTGGCGGTTGCGCAAGATTGAAAATATCACAAAGTCTGTTGTCATACGCGTTTTCGTCATTGTCGTCGTCTCGTTCAGCGAACTCCTCTGAGGTAATCGAAACAATTTCTTCCTCGTCATTGCTTAAAGTTACATTCATATCGACGTTATTTTGATAGATGGTAACGTACAAAAGATGAAGGAAGGACATTGAATGTTCACGGAAGTCCTTTATGAAAAATTATAATAACACTAATCGAATTACCTCCTTCGTCTATTGGGCTGTGAGGAACCGCTAGTTGTTATACGGCCATTTTTCCAATATACAAATCTAATATACGGCTTACGATCTCTATGGAAATGAGAATCTCTCACCGCACAGTGACAATACATAACTCTTTCATAAGTTCTAATGATTAGAGCACTACGGGATACAATGTATTCAAGAATAGGTTATCGGTTTCCGTGACAACGTGAGAAACGACAGAGCTCGTGCCTTGTACGTTACTACCGTCCGTAACTGGAAGAAAATGTGCTCTGTCGTCACGTTATGACATTTTATATCAATTTTAAGAAATAAACGACCAATTATAACGAATTTAAAACTAGCTATTTGATTGTACGAAACTGAATGAAAATTATTGGTAAATGGGGATGAAAAAATAATTCACTAGAAAAAAATCTAAAAAATAACCGTGCATTTAAAGTTAACCTTTAAAAAGATTTCATTTTAATGTCAAAACCCTAGTATTGCGTGAAAATCACTTTTTTGTAGTTTATACCTCAATCTATGGATAGCAAAAACTATGGTGATCAAAATCCTGTCATTGTGGCATTAAATCAATCAACCTCTCTTTTACGAATACAAGATGATGAGTCAAGACAACTTGTCGATGAAGGTTATTGTTTAAGCCTTCATCAACCTTGGGCTTCACTATTAGTACGTGGAATCAAGTCGTAAGTCCTCGTATGCATTTTTAAAGCAAATTTTTGTTTTACAATTGATACAAATGTATGGTATTTTCTCGAAAAAACTTTATTTACATTCAAAAGCTTTGATGCAATGCTAGTCATTCAAAAAACAGTTTGTTTACTAATCAGACGTGATTCATAGATAAGTCCCTAAAATATTTTTCAATAGAGTAAGGTAGTTTGATTTCTTCATCAAAAATATCATTTACTATTCTATTTTATTTACTCAATAATTAAGCAGTTTGCACACCGTGCTCCTGTTTGTGTAACGTTGTGCGTTAGTTATGGTGTGGTGTGTGCTACTTATATTGACATAAGTAGTATATGATGTTAATCGTGAACAGAAGGTCTGGCAGCAGAGAGAAATGGGGATCGAACAGTAAAGAATGGAAACAGGATGCAATTTGTATGAAAATGTAAGAACAATGAAGTCTGAGTCATTTTGAGACAATTGGTGGACATCTTGCAAATTAAGCATTTACTTTATGATTGTTAGATTTTATTAACAAGTCTTGTAATTTTGTGTCAAATACATTCGATTGTCCCCACCCGTGTTCTGTTCACTACAGTATGTATCGCCAATCGAAATTAAAATGCCTGGCTGTAAAAGGTTAAAAAGATCAAAGAGAAGAGGAGAACAGATAGTGATTGGTGTGAAAATAAAGGGATAATCAAAACTTAGACAATTGATTGACATTGTGCAAATGAAGTATTTACTGCATGTTTCCCAGATTTTACCAAGATATTTGGTAATTTTGTATCCAAATACATTTGTTTGTCCCGATTAGTGTTCTCGTTCGCTGCGATAGCATCAAGCAAGTTGGTTGAATTCTCTATAGATCCACCTAATCAATGGTTGTAAATTATGTAGATTCATTTATGAGTTTTATATCTATCACTTCTTTATTCGTTTTTTTCTCTTTTCATTTTAAATCTTTGGAATATTCACAATGTTTTATTTCATATCTTTTTACATATTTATCAAGTAGTAGGAACATGCTTTTGGTAAATTATGAGATCGATTCATCCATTAATTCAAAGATTTTGTGACTCATTAAAAATGATTTACTTAAATATATGCATGCTTGTTAAATTCCTCTATGTGTTATTTGCATAAACAGGGAAGAAGGTAGAACATGGTATACTCCGTATCGTGGATGTCTGTGGATAGCATCGACAGCAAATAAAACTGATCCAGAGGAAATCACTGAAATCGAGAATAAATATTTAAAGGCTGGTAATATTTTACATTCTTTTGTTGTGTATGCAGTGCAAAATGTTTTTGGTGGAGTTTTGTTCTCTGAGCTGGATGGTTTGGTCATGGAGCTTTCATCGTTCTTCTGAACGACATCATCAGCACAAACTTCAGATAGAAGTGAAGTGTTTGAATTTCTCCATATGTGTCTCAAAGCTTGTTCTGTGCACCTCGACGTTGATTGGTTCTTATTGACCTTAAATTTGTCGTTGTTTACTTCTTTGTTTTGGTTGTGTCTCCCATTGTTTTGATTTTTGTTCTTATGTTTGTGCATGATTTTTCTGATTGGTTGATAAATTGGATTGATTTCAATATGCTTGTTGATTGCTAATTGACCTGAGTGCCAGGCTTCTAAAAATTCTCTGGTGTTTTTGGAGTTTCCTCTGTCTAAGATTTCCATATTTTTCCAATCGAATGAGTGTCCGCAGTTGTCCACGTGTATTGATATAAGTGAAGAGATATCATGCCGTTTGACTGCTAATTGATGTTCATGTAGGCGAAGGTGAAGGGGGCGTCCGCTTTGTCCGATGTAGTGTTTTTCGCAGTTGGCACAATTTATTTTGTAGATGATGTTTGATTTGTTTTCCTTTGTTATTTCATCTTTTGGTTTGCATAAGATTGATTGTAGTGATTTTGTCGGTTTGTGTGCCACACCTATTCCGAAGGTTTTCAGCAGTCTCGTCGCTGTTTCTGATATTCCTTGTATATATGGTAGGGTGATCCTTTTGTTGATTTTTGTGCTTGACTTGAGTTCTAATGCTGCGTGCGGTTGGTATTTTTTGATGAAGTTGATGGGGTAGCCGTTCTTCTGAAATACATCCTTTAGGTATTTCTCTTCATTTCTTCGTGCTGCCAGTGTGCTGCAGTGTGTCCTCGCCCTCTTGAACAAATTGTGTACGCAGTTGATTTTGTGAGCTCTGGGGTTGTTGCTATTGTAGTTGAGAATTTGATCCGTATGGGTCGGTTTCCTATATACCTGAGTTTCCAGTTTTCCTGTGTCGGTTCTAGTGATCAATACATCCAAGAATGCTAGTTGGTTGTTTGACTCCTGTTCCATGGTGAACTTGATGTCATCGAAGACGTTGTTGATCAGGTTGTAAGTGTTTTCTAGTTCATTCTTTTTGACGATGACGAAGGTGTCGTCTACGTAGCGAATCCAAATTTTTGGTTTGATCACTGGTAATATCGCGGCTTCTAGTCTTTGCATCACTGCCTCTGCGATCAATCCTGATATTGGTGATCCCATTGGTGTCCCTTTCGTTTGTTCGTAGATCTTGTTGAATTGAAAGTATGTTGTTAGGCATAAATTGATGAGTTCCTGTAGACTTTGAATTTGAAGCTTCGTGTATTTGGTGAGGTTTGTGTCGTTGTTGAGCAGCAGGGATATAGTTTCTTTTGCTAATTTTGGTTCAGTTGAAAGCTCCACGACCAAACCATCCAGCTCAGAGAACAAAACTCCACCAAAATCATCCACCTGAGCTACAAATCTTCTCCACCATCTCAGTGCAAAATGTTCAATTACTGAGACTAAAAATACTTTCTAAAGATGATATTGTAGTATTCATAATATTCATATTTATTCCATATCAGGGATACACAGGTTTAGTTTTATAAATTGCTATCAATCTTACTAAGTTAGGGATGTGGTAATGTAAATACTCATATGTATATGTAGGTTTCCTGTGGATTAGTCTTCTTATTTATAGATTATACTTAATTATTTTTGCATACCGAAATCCCGCATTGTACTAAACATATAACGTCAAATAAACTTATTATTATTATTATACATAGCAATCAGTTGTAAAAGATTATTACTGTGAGCATAATTGTGAAAAATATCGATTATCTCGATCATTCAATGAAGAATAGTGAGTACAGAATAGATGACAAATAAATGCATAATTCAACTCTGATTACTTTTAATCATAATAAAAGTAAGATTGTTTCTATGTTATTTCACCGATAGGTATGAGAAAAGTTAACTATCCCGTATTTGCAAGTAAAACTTTCTCAACTACAGCACAATAAACGTTCTAACAGAGAAGCAGAAAAGGCATTATATAACTTTAAAAAAGACAAATGTAATTACACTACGATTATCTGAATACATACCCAGTGAGAATAACTAACTTTTCCAAGTTGAAACTAGTTTTATTAATACAAGGATCAAATGCACTGTTTGATTATATTAATATCATGTCACTCAGATTACTTACTTATGCCTGCTACCCCTCGTAGAGAAGTATAGGTCAGTTACTAGCACTCTCCATCCAACTCTGTCCTGAGCAATCCTTTCCAGTTGCTACTCATTCTGTTCATGTCTGCTGCCGATTCTCGGCGCAGTGTGTACTTTGGTCTTCCTCTTCCCCTTTTTCCTCCAAAGTTCCAAGATAGTGCTATCTTCGTGATGCAGTTTGATGATTTCCTCAATGTGCGTCCTATCCACTTCCAGAGTTTCTTGCTAATTTCCTCTCCATCTGCAAGCAAGTTTGTTCTCTCCCATAATAGGCTTTTGCCTTAGTATTTAGCCAAAGGACATCGAGTATCCGGCGTAGAAAATTGTTTATAAACACTTGTACCTTTTTGTTGGTGGTTGCAGTAGTTCTCGAAGTTTCAGCTCCGTAAAATAGAACTGTCTTGACTTTCGTAATGAAGATTCTGAATTTGACGTTGACTTGCAGACAGTTGTCTTGAGTTTCATTTGCCTTTCAACTGTAGGAATGCTGTCTTTGCTTTGCCAATCCTCGTCTTTACACCTGCTTCGGTTTGGGCACCCGGGCAGTATCACAACCCTCACACATATCAAATGAGATCCGTGTGGCGCATATGTATTTGGTGCCTCTTTGTACCAATATCTATGTGTTAAAATAAATAAATAAATAAAGTATAAGGATGATATTGTCTTGCTGTGCGACAATGCCCAAGCGATGCAATCCGCACTTAATCAGTTGGCAATCAGTGTCCGTAGATATGGTATGTACTTTGCACCTTCTAAGTGCAAAGTACTCCTACAAGACTTGCAGGATTCCAATCCTGTACTCACCCTGGATGGTGAGCAGATAGACGTAGTCGAGAAGTTCGTGTATCTGGGTAGCTGCATAAGTGCTGGTGTGGGTGTGAGTGATTAGATCAATGCACGTATAGTGAAAGCCAGAGCGGCTTATGCCAATCTGTGCCATCTTTGGCGCCTTCGTGATGTTAGTCTGGCTGTAAAAGGCCGGATGTACAACGCGTCGGTGAGAGCAGTCTTGCTCTGTGCTTGTGAAACCTGGCCTCTCCGAGTTGAGGATGTTAGACGATTCTCTGTGTTCGATCATCGCTGTCTCCGAAGGATTGCTGACATCAAGTGGCAACATCATCTTAGTAATGCCGAGGTTTGGCATCGTGTGTTCGGGCACAGAGACGATAATGCAATCGGTGTCACCATCTTGAAACACCGACTTCGGTGGCTTGGACATGTTCTACGAATGTCGTCCCAGAGAATTCCACATCGTGCATTATTTGCCGACGCTGGAACTGGTTGGAAGAAGCGGAGAGGTGGTCAGTGCATGACATGGTGTCTTGGTATGAAGGAAATTTGCAAAGAGCTGGCTTCTGTCGGTCCTTCACGACTTCCTGGTTGGGGTTCGAGAGATGGTGCTACACAGTGGCTAGAGACGTTATCAGATATGGCTCAGAATAGAAGCCAATGGCAATCCTGCTGTTACCTTCCTTCATAAAAAGTGGTTGTATCTTCCTTAACTGAAAGAATTCTTTCTGATTGTATCTTTCCGTTTCCCCCACAATTATTACTATTATTATTACACTATCATACACTAATCTGTGGTCGTTATTGTTCTCTTATTCATTTCTTCTCTCTTATACGCACTTTACATTCTTTTTTTTCTTTTCCCATCCTCATTATTATTGTGTGGCTCATATATATCTGATGCCCCCTTGTACAAATATTTATGTGTTCAAATAAATAAATAATAAATGGTTGGTCCTCTTGGTCTCCCACATTGTCCAGACAGTTCATGTAGCTATAGAAATTGTTGCTCTGGTTATTAGAAGAGGCATAGGCTTCTTAACTTCCGAAGAATCTCGGCTTCCTCCATGAGGCATTATGAATGTAGACCCTCAAACTCGGAGGACCGAGTTTAAATTGTCTTTTCTGGTTAGCGTTCTCTAGCTAGTTTGTTTTCTGAAGGTTGGGATTGCTGACTCTATGCATAACCCTCCTCCTTTACCCGGTCTTGGGACCGGTAGTAACCCTAGAATAGCTACAGGTCGAGTTCCACTCAGATTAGAAATTATTATATGTGAGATAGTATTTATTTTCAGTACTTTCAACAGTTTATGTTTTTATGACTGTGATTATTGTAATTTCGAATAAACTAAAACTAAATGCGATAACTAGCGTTTTATTAATATGACACCTCGGTAATGAAAGTATCCGAATAATTTAAAGTGAATTCAAATAGTAATTAATCAAGCCATATAAATCAGCACCATAAACGGTAATTCTTTGTTCCCTCGTTTGGATTCATATGCTATTTAAGTTTCTTTCAACTGCAATCATTATCCCGGTCTTCTAGCATTAGTATCGAATAAATACTTAGGTACAGCATTTAACCAAGTTTAAGGTTTAGTCTGATATTGTTATAACTTTGAATGCTTATTGTCTTGGCTCATTTAATGCTAATTTTTGTATCTGGTTGTCGCTGATTGTTATGTCGGAAACGCTTATCACTTATACTCGGAACGAGGGACCTCTGCAATTTCCACGATGCGAAAGTAAGAACACAAAGACTGTTATAAGTGATGATTTATTAACCCCAAAACACAACGACTCTAGTAGAAAATACACTTATTTATATATTGATTGTACACTCATTTTGATTGATAATTAGGATAAAATCACATATATGAAAAATACTTAGAGTTATAACAAATCACATACTGAGCATAGTTCATGTCAATGGAATACAAGAATATCGCATATTATACAGAATAAAATATGATACGAGAAAGCAAAACCGAATACTACATTGAGTAGTCATTACATTGAATTAAAACGAAAGTAATCTTGAACAAAACTCATAATGAGTAAATCAATCGAAAATTGACTTTTCTTTCCATCATATTAGATATAGAAATACGTTTTAAAAATGTCACTCACCTAAATTGTTGTGTGTTCTATAGCTTTGTATTTCTTTGTTAATCTTGACAAAAACCTGGGCGTTTCATTCAAGTTCAGTCAGTTTTATTTCCCAAGATGGAGATAATATCTCGCTGTAAAGACGTTGTTCTAAACTTATCACTGCTATTCTTTAAAATCGTAGATCTATTATTTCCCCCTTATACAACTTGAAGAGTAATTCGCTTAAAGATATCCGTATTTTTACTGAAAATATTTATAAGTATCTTTTCTAAGTGATCTTTTTTAAACGATAGTAACTAAAACTTTTTCCTTCTTTAACATTTAAGCTCATGGTTTCAAATTTCTTTAAACTTTCAGCATCTGATGTAATTATTTGTCCATGCACACCATTCCGTTTTATACTATAATTGTATAATGCAGAATTATGAAATCACAGATTTTAATTTCATGATATTGCTCAAATATTCCAAAATTTTATTTTTATTACTATTATTAATTATAGGTGTCCCCAAATCAGATATGCCAACATCATATCCTACTAGTTGTCTTCTTGGTCGAGTTAATATTGTAAATGTGATAACACAAGAAGAATATCGTGAAAAAGTAAGGTGTTATAAGTTAATGATCTAATTTAAATTTTTGTTTTGGTCCTCATTTATTTATTTGGGTTAATTATTGTATTTTAAACTCAATAGACTGATATTTTATTCATAAAAATTAATGAATACTTTACGCCTGTTTTATCACAATCTTGTCTTTTTTAACTCTATTTTTTTCTCAAAGTCGATAGCTAGGTTTTGCATTGTACTTACATTTATCAACGTTCGTATCATTAAATCTTATCATAACAACTGCTAACCTTAGATTAGTTGAATTTTTGACTTTCTGGTCGTTTTTTTTACCAATACAGTAATAGGTTACCTCTGGTTATTCGATTAATGCCAGGCAAATATATGCATTAGTCCTAGTTGCAATACCTTATTAACACAACAAGACAAATACCGTATTAAAAGAAGCAGCTACATCAGTGTTAGAAATGCATAAAAACAGATTGCATATAAGGATATGATACAGGGAAAAAGAGTTAGTTAGTGAATTTATGGACTGATGGTTTGACCACTTTTAACGTTCTTCCAACCGTCTCCAACTCTAGTCAGCATTGCGCGTCGTGGTAATCGGTGATTGGGCATGCGTAATGCGTGGGCCCACAATCGCAGTTGATGAGGTGAGGTCAAGTGAATGAGCACACTAGGATCCTGTATGCATGTTTCAGAGACATAGCATACATCAATGGTACAAGATCCTAAGGTTTTAGTCAAGGAGGTCCAATGATCGATTCGACATAGGGTGTGTACGTTGAAGGCTCCAATGTGTAGTTTGGGGTGAGGTTTTAGTAGACCTGGGACAGTGTTTTGCGCACTAGAATCGCTGGTTATGGTGACATTTGAAGAGGAAGTTTAGAGTTTAGAGTCTAGGTAGGAGGATTAATAGGAATTGAATAGGGAGATTGATTATGAATACAATGATCTTGAGTGTTGTCAAGTGTGTGAGGGCAGTTCCCACTTCCCGGTCGCTTACACCGTGGAAAGTTTCTTCTAGAGGTACTTGATAAGGCAGTTGAGTAGAGGTGGTCTTAGTGACCTGAGAGCGTGACCGCAGTGTCCAAGGGACAACTACTTTGGGTCGTCACACACCATTTTGTGTTAACTCTGTGTTTATTGAGACCTTACTGCTGGAGACGGAAACCCGTGGGAGAAGGCGAGGTGTGTATTTTCAGAGTCGACCTTTTCTAACCCTATCCTTCTTTGTGGGAAGGCAGCATCGCTGTTATCGGAATTCATCCATCAATCTCGTCGATAACCTCTTAAACATACAATTAATACAGCTAAATCTCTATTTGTTGTTATTCGAATTACCGTTTCCGCCCGTCTTACGGGTATGGTTAAGTAGCTGTTTGTCAGCTTGGATTAATTAAGTTCCAAAAAGTTACTTCCGACAAAGAATATATTATTATCCGATCAATTTATCTAATAGAGATCAGTAATGTTGGCAAGTATGAGCTATGTTACCATGATTTTTAAACTGCAGAGACCAATGGTTGAAGACATTCATTATGACTTAGAATCAAATTCGGAAGTACAGATAGACAACAACCTTTATAGGTACTAAATGTTTACTTCTAACTAGCCATTATTGTGCTTGTGACTATTATGTTTGTACCGACTACTTTTTTGTTTTGATCACAACAATTGTACTAAGTTTCACATTATTTCACTTGGCCTGTCAACCTCATTTTACTTTGATGAGTCATAAGCTTGTGATACAGTGAATATTTATTTATTTTTAATATATTAGCAACCTGATGGACCATCACAAAGTCCGTATGTATTCATTTGCGCTGATCCACGTGAAACTTTAATTAAATTCCCTATACGTGGGAAGCACAAAATATGTAAGTTTCATATCATATAATATATTCTTTGACAGATAAACTAGAAAAACATATACATATTGCGGCGAAAAAAAATCTTACATGAATGTATATTACAGTCGGCGATTTCTTCTGCAAGTCCTTTTTTCCTTTATCTTTTCAACTTGAGAAAGAAATAGTATTTAATTCATTTTTCCGTTCTTACTGAGTTCGTAACCTAAACGTAAAATGGTGTTGTTCAGAACAATGAATATTCACTTATCATAACTTTCGGTCGTTTATGCCGATAATATTAGTCAGATGCAAGGATGATTGGAGTTTCATTTTTTATGTGTTTTATCTAAGACAAATTTCAGTGCATCGTTGTGAATTGGTTCTCTTTGTGATAATTAGAAGTGTTCCATCTAAATATCCTTCGCCGTAGATGGTCCAATCCAATTAATGATAAAACGTCGTGGGAGAGTTTTTTTCGTTTACATTTCGCTAGATTGTGCATGTATCCGAGTAATCTCAATCAGATACGTTCAACAGTTATTAGGCCCCTATTTGGGAAATTAAATGTACACTGTGTCTAGGGACATATAAGCTGGTTGGGAGTACCAATCCATTTTACGAGGTGGAGGTATTAAAGGTACTCAAAGATCTAGGATGTTGAAAGGTACCTGTTCACCTTTAAATATGAAGACAAATCTAAGAGTTTACTTAACGCAGAAGTAAGTATAGGTAGAGCTACCTAATCGCACAAGTTTTATCATAAATGGCATTTTGAAAACAAATTTGATGGACATAATAGTAGTTTAGGTTTCATCACAAGAATAGATTTTTTTAATTGAAGTGGATGTCATGTCGTACTTTTATACAAACTTTACTTAAAATGCTATGAATCCCTTTATTGTGATTTAGAACATACGTTAACAAAAAATATTTTTTAACGAGACCGTCATCAGGCTTTGTTTCAATATACAGTAGTATTTACGTGCATATATAAAAATATTAGGCAATCTGAGGCAATTTATGAGTGAGTGATAGCGATGAAATAGAAAGAAGCATTTTCCAACGCAAATATAATGTCGAAAGCTCACCACTGGGGATGAAATCACGATTTATGGACTATGTCGACACGGTAGCAAAAAGTAGATTTGAGACGTTAGGTACGAAGTTAATGGAATCGCTCAGATGTCGAAAATTAAAACGTAAGTCCTCTATTGACGCCAAATAATACGTTCATAATTTTTCCAGTGTTAAGTTGAATTTTGTGTAATGAGAAGCTGTGGTTTTTGTACTTGACTACGCGCTTATTACAAGTTACAAATATAATACGTCCATTTGCGCTCATCTTGTTCTACCTTCCTTATATTGCGCTGTTTCGGGAATTCTTAGTTAGCAAATCAATTTGAATAATTTTAGATATCATAGAAGCTGTATCGCTTGATTTAAAATTTTGGAACTATGATCATATAACTGTATAACTATATACCAATGTGCAATTTGAGAACTTCTTTTTCTAAACGACAGATTTGGTCCCAAATACTTTCGAGGAACAAACTAGATTCAAACCCACGATGGTTGACATTTGACAATTGTACGAGTGATAAATATGTCGCGAAATCTCCACTTACCAAACAACATCGACGTGCTTTACGTAAGCTTAAGACGGATAATACTGATCATAAGCAAGCCAGATAGAAGAGGAGGGCTAATTGTCATGAACAAACCAAATCATATCGATAAAATGCGTTATGACTATTGCCCGTGTCAATTATCACTTGACAAAATCGCCAATCAGAATACAGAATTATATGACCTTGTTCTTGTGCTAAACCAATAGACCGTCAACCAGCACTAGCAGCCTTGCGTCAAGTTTGAATCCCCATCGGTTCTTCTCGTCTAGGCCTGCCCGTTGAGTTCAGAACACAATCCCAGCCTCCACGGTATTGATGTCATTTTTCAAACATACTTAGTTTATAAACAAGCAGACCAGACCGCATCACACCATGAAATGAAAAATAATGATTATATAGGATCAAACCGAAAGTGGCTGTGAGTGGAGGAAACAATAGGTCAAATGAAAGCTTACGATAAAAGTTTTATATATGTAGTTAATAATTACCCAATAAGAATATATTAATAATAGTCCATAAATAATCCCTAGCAGTTACCATTCATTTATTCTTCGTCCGTATATGACAAAATGAGTGCGGTATCGAACGTTGCGACTGGATTTCAAAGACTCAGCCACGTTAAGATATAAATATGAAAGCGGATAAAGTACTAACTAGTTCGCTCAAAAAATCGAAACAGGAGATAATGACTAATCATTTATGACCTGCTTGAGCCAATCGAACCGAACACACCACGTCTATGGCTTACCCAAAGTTCACAAGTCAGGATCTACTATAACGTCAAGTTTTAGACATATGTGTGCATACTATAAGACTGCAAAGTGGCTGGTTTGAATCCTAGATTCTCTAAACTAGTTTGTTGTCAACAGAAGCGTTGGAGGCGCTTTCAAGTTCAGCTCTAAAGTGTAACATGTGAATGTAAACCGGAAACAAATAACATACCTGGGTATTTTTTCCTTTACCGTAAGCTGTGACAATCGACTTTGTGCGTCAACAGCCTGACTTTTACTGTCGTCACATTGATGATACTTTTAATGTTGTCGATCAGAATACTTAAAAACCAGCAACTTATCAATCAGGTTTACATGTAAGGAAAAACTTGACAATATGTTAGAAAAGATGGTTCTATCAATAGGGGTGCGTATAGGGAAAATCCTTCAGCAGGTCAATACACATACCTTGAACTTTGTACCTATTGATTATATGAGAAACCTAAATAGATAAGTTATGATGGGGCGGATATGGTAAAAATTGGAGCTGGGTTTTCCGGGCTACTATTGATTAGTTTTTCTATTTAGTTATTAATTAACTAGACGGCAAATATGTTTTTCTTTTATCATAAGCTTTCGATTTACTGACGGACTACTGTTGTGGCTTACTACTGAATAAATAACTTTAAATGACTTGTTTCTGTCCACTACATGACCGCTATCGATCAAGTGTGATAGAACCGAGCTGCGTATTGCCTTGACATTACCTTTTTCTAACCGCGAAGGTGTTCAGTAACTCTGGTTCAATTGCCGGGTAGTGCACCCAATATAGCTTTCTCCACAGGAACAGCTGAATTCGTAGATACACATAGAAGTGGCATAACCAGGTAACTTATCCTTTAGTTGGGGAATCGCCATAGATCGGCCCGAATACGATAGACAGAGGTTGGCTGCATTAAGCGCTCTCTTCACTGCTCTAGTCAGTCTGTCACGTAATACATCACCAGCTCTATCTTCATTGGATTGCAGCTTCAAGAAAAGAGGTTTTTTACTGATCGTTTATGTCGCTATTTTCTTATTTGTTACACGCAAGTGTTTCTTCGGGAAACCCTGTGGATAGCCCATTTCAATCAACATATTAGGAATGAGCTCTAATTCCTTATCAATTGTGTCGACTGAGCATATCGTAATAGCTCTATTTACCAGACATTTGACTAAGTTTCTCTTATAATGAAGTAGGAAGCTTAAGAAATGTGTGTATTGGCTTAATGAAGAGCTTTTTCTAGACACATTTCTACCGATATAACCTTTTTTTCTATTTAACAAAACGTTAAGGAAATGAAGTTTATTACCTATTTCCTCTTCACGTGTTAATTTAATTGCTGGGTGTTTGTTGTTAAATAGTTCTTCTTTTCTAATATTCTGGTCGATAATAATGAAAGTGTCATCAACGTAACGACAGTAGAAGTCAAACTTATTGATAACCTCTTTGAGAGGTCCGTTTTCTAGTTTCGCAAGAAAAAATCCGCAAGGATAGGACCTAGAAGTGAACCCATAGCTATACCATCAATTTGTCTATAATGTGTTATTAAAGACAAAATGGACATTCATTGTAAATTTCGAAAGTACTTCTTTGAAACTAACCTCAAGATTTCCAATATTGATTTGCTTTTCTTGTAGTTGTTGGCACACCAATTCAATAGTCTCAGTTAAAGGTGCATTGTTGAACAGGGAAGCAACATCTAGAAATATCATCCATTTCCCATTTAAGTTCATATGTTCCACTTTAGAAATGAAATCGAAGACGTCTTTTACGCTTCTGTTGACGACTAGTTTGTGTAAGGGATCTAAGATTCGGACTAGCCACTTTGTAGTTTTATGATAAGGCGAATTATACATATCTAAAACTGGGCGAAGAGAAAGATATGTCTTGTGAAATTTGGGTAGACCATATAGTCGCGATGAGTTCGATCCAGTGGGTTTAAATGAGTCGTGTATGTTTAGAGTAAGTATACCTTTATTTTCTAATTCCTTAAGTGAATTAGTCAGCAATTTTTCTGCCTTCATATTTATGTCCTTCACGTCGTTAAGTTTTTGAAATTTAGTCGGATCATTCTAAATCGAGTTCATTTTGTCAATGTAATCGGCTACGTTCATTAGAACTAGCTCTCCTCCTTTGTCCAGCTTGCTTATGATTAGAGTTTTGTCTTTTCTAAGCATATGTAAAGCATCTCGGTGTTTGGTAAGTGGAGTTTCCACAGTACATTTACTATTTTTGTATTGTTGACAGATGTCCACTAACGTGATCTTAAACGTAGTGAGTTCATCTGGTGAAGTGAGCACCAAATATATTGTGTGTAAATAGATTTTCAAACTGCACATCTGTATCTGGTTGATTTATTTTATTTCCAGTCACAAAATCTAAGTCCGAGCGACAAAGCCTCTACTTGCACTATATCTAACGTAACACTAGAAAAGTTATGAACGTACCGCTCAGGGTCCATAGGAAATTTTCTTTCAGGTTCATGAACTTCCAGTAACTGAATTAGTTTTGTCTCTAATTTTTTTGGTCTACTTTTCGCTACCATGTTAATATAATCCATAAATTGTGATTTTATTTCCGGTGGTAGGTTATCGACCATAGATTCTCTTTGTGAAAAATTTCTTTCCAGATTGTTTATATGTATTT